CCATAAGGTTGGTATTAAGAATTAAATGAGAGTAATGCATAGGAAGTTCTTAGCATTTTTCCTAGCACCTAATAAGCTGTTGTTCTTGCTAATGGTTTCCTTATTTGACATTCTTCCCCAACCCAGAGGGGGGGTAAATATCTGCTCTTTTTAATAAGATTTTGAGGTCATCCACTGATTTTTATTTTCCTTTTATATTTACCCAAATGAAAATAATGTGTGATCAAATAATGCCCGGATATCTCTTGAAATTCTGTTCCTTATATTTGTGTTTTATAATAACATATGGTAATGCTTGGGAAGAGGGGAAACTTTATTATGCCATTATCTTTATTATTTAATGATTATTTGGCTCCCAGAAAGGGTCTCTGATACTGTTCATCTCAGTGTGGCTCATCATTTCCCTGGAGAGCTGTGGGGAGTAACTCTGAGCCCCTCCTTCTTATTCCTAGCAAGTAATGAGCTCTGGCTCACTGACAAGTCCCAATGCGATGCAGTCTGGTAGAAAGATTTGAGAATCTGAAAGCCTGGATTCAAGTTCAATCACTTACTAGCTGTATGTCCTTGAACAAGCCACTACCTATCTAACACCCCATGGAGTTGGGATGTTAATGGGCCTCTTATTTTTCCTTCTATGGATTATTATTATTTTCCTTCATAGAATGACTGGAAATGACTTAAAAGCACTAAAGCATTAGATCACTTAGGGTCTTTACAGCAGACTTACTGATATTATAAAAATTATTAATAATAATGCCTAGGCTGATATAATGAGATCATAAATAACACTTTGTGAGAGCAAGTTAATTTTGATCAATAAACCTCTCTCATACAGCCAAACAATAGATCGCTCTTCTTTCATTAAAAAAAAAAAAAAAAAAATCTGACCACTTTTTAAAAAATCTATTAGCTTTTCCCTCTCACTCTCTTAACATAAGAACTCCAAATTTAAGTTCTAAAAATCGAGATTTCTTCCAAAGGGTCTCTCCTTTGTCCCAGGGGTTTGAGATCATGAGAGCAGACCCGACGCAGTTTCCTGTTAGCGAAACAGAGAAATCCAGGTAGAGTGCGTAATGAGGTGTGATTTATGGAAATACAGTTCAAGTTCATACTGAACACTTCAGGCCTCTGATGGCGGACTGCTCGGTTCAAATCCACTCAGGCTCCATGGCTGTGAATAAGTAATCAACTTCTCATACCCCAGTTTCCTCCTCTATAAAATGGGAATGATAAGAGTCCCTTTGTGATAGGCATTTTTGGAGAATTAAATGAGTTAATATATGTAAAGTGCTTAGAATTGTTTAGCACATAATAAATGTCATGTAAGTGTTAGCAACGTCATCATCATCATCATCTTCAAAATGGACAGCAAGTTCTCTCAGATGCAGAACAGAGCTCCCCAGTCGTGCATGTGTTTCTCCAGCTTAGGCCCAAGGTCCCCCCTCTGTGCCCCCATTGCGCCCTGTACCTGCTCTCGAGGCAGTTCTGGAGCTACCTTTGTGCTCATGCTGTCTGTAATGTTCCTGTCTTTGTCTTCCCAGGGTCTGCCATAGACCCTATTCCAGGGGAGTGCTGGTAAGCCAGCTCTCTGAAAATAAAAGCCCTGATTTGTAGCATTTACTGACTTCTGTGGTGTACATGCTCCCACCTTGGCTGATGCCAGGCTACCCGTTGTTTAGTAAACCGGCCTGCCAAATTCCCGAATGTGAACAGTCAACTCTCGCACCCTGCCTGAGCTGGCCCCAACACATCAAGGCCTGTTGCTCAGCACTCAGGCAGTGAATGAGTTAATCACCCAGGCTGGCTGCTGCATCAGGTAGCACTGGAGAGCCCACAAAAGATAATGAAACTTACAAAAAGCAGAAAGAAATGTGTGGGCGTAAAATAGTGCACTAGAGGAAGGGCCTTGTTTTAAAGTCTGATTTTCCAGGGCTCAGAGACATCAAATCAAAGGAATCAAACCCACGACCCTTGGTAGAATCCAGTTTCCATGATAGCGATTCAAAGGTCCCCGTTTTCCAGACAGCCCCTCCTTGTCTTTCCCTTGCCACCTACTACTCCTGCTGTATTTTATTTGAGCAATTGCCTGAACAGTGCCAAAAAGGAGCTGGAGAGGGAGGAGTGTACCTGAGCTGACCCTCTTGCCTTAGATTGCTCCTTTGTGACTTCCCTTCTTCCTTACCACCATTGTGCTTTCCAGAACCCTATACTGCAGCTGTCCCACCCCTCCTGTTAGTCTAAAAAAGGAATCTAGTTCATCCTCACAACTTACTCTACCTCTCAATGGCATGCTGTCCTGGCCAAGGAGTGCTGGTAAGCCAGCTCTGTAAAAATAAAAGCCCTGATTTGTAGCAGTTAGTGGATTTCTGTGGTGTAAAGGTGACACGTAGAAGCATTTTTCCCAGTCCCAACTGCTTTCAGTAATCCTCAGTTCCATTTAGGGGAACAACTTTCCAAATTGGGGAAGAAGAATCCCACGTCAGCATTATTCAAAGCAAGCATATCTCAGACCATGGCACCTGCCCTCAGACTTCATGCTGGCCATCTGCGGACACAGTTTGCATCAGTAATAGTCTTTCCTTATAAGTCAGTTCCCTGGAATTTCATCGGGGTTGCATTTAGGAGTGTGGCACTCTAGCCTCCGTCTCTGTGTTGCTTGGTGCCATCGAGGCTGAGGAGTACCTCCTTGTTAGAATGTAAAGTGCTCTCTTGCCTCCTGAAGATGAGTCTTTCTCTCTCTAAACTATGAACACTCACACACAATCATGATATCTTCCTGTCCAGGAGAGTTCTCTGTAGTGTGGATTCAGAAAGACATTTATGAGTGCATGTGCTATTTTGATCTAAAGATTATTAACTACCTTATACCTGTAGAAATCAACCTACACAATCCCAACTTCAGTCACTGACCACTGGGGAAAAGAGATTAGCCCAAAAGCCCTTCAAATTAGAGTTAAATGGTTACTTGCAGGGTTTATGGAGTAAGTAAGCATGATATGCTCAGTGGATGCTGAGATCCATGACCACTTTTCCTCTACCACCACCCAGCCCCCACCTCCCACCCCAACCACCCATCATGTTAAAAACCTTTGCCCTCCTTCTGGGAAGATGATAAAGGTAATTTGTAGAGAAATTGACCACTTCAAAGGTGCTGACACAGTATCATCGTTAACTTAAGTATCATTGTCAAGTGCTTAGACTTCCCCTCAGATTTCTAGTTTTTACCTCCCTACTCTTCAGTGGGAGCGGATAAGCCAAGATTACCAGATAAGGAAGGAACTCCTAATTTGGAAGACAGAGAATTTTTATTATGGTTCTCCAGAGAAACAGAAACAATTGGATGGATGGATGGATGGATGGATGGACAGATGGACAGATGGACAGATGGATTTTAAGGAAGTGGCCCACAGGCTTGTGGGGGCTGGCAAGTCTGAAATCTATAGGGCAGGCCAGTAGGCTTGAAATTTATGTAAGGGTTGATTTGCAGTCTTGAGTTTGAAACCTTCAAAGCTGGAAACCCAGACGAGATGTCTGTATTGTACTCTGAGGCCAAATCCCTTCTTCTGAAGGCCTTCAGTTGAATGGACAAGACTCAGCCACATTGTGGAGGGCAATCTGCTTGCCTTAAAGTCACATGATTGTAAATGTTGATCACATCCACAGATACCCTCACAGCAGCATCTGGAATAGTGTTTGACCAACAACTTGGCTCCATAGCCTAGTCAGTCTGACACATAAAATTTACCATCACAGAGACCAAAACACAGAAGCAAAGAAAAGCAAGTTGGAGGAAACTATGCTGGGAGAAAACTTCATAAAAATGTTATTAATATCTTTAGAGATATAAGAGAAAATATTGCAAGCACAAAATAGGATCAAGGTGCAATGTGTTAGAAAGAAAGAAAGAAAGAAAGAAAGAAAGAAAGAAAGAAAGAAAGAAAGAAAGAAAGAAAGAAAGAAAGAAAGAAGAAAGAAAAAAAGAAAGAAAGAAAGAAAGAAAGAAAGAAAGAAAGAAAGAAAGAAAGAAAGAAAGAAAACCTCAGCAAACAAATAACCCTTGGAAAATAACAACATAAATGAAAGTCTCACAAAAATTTCCAAAGTTGAGAAACACTTTTAAAAAATAAAGCAAAAACCCACAGGGATTAAATATAAGAGAGACAGACCAAATTCAAGCAAGATCCAAAAGATCTGAGCTGAAAACCATAAAAGTTCTATAAATACAGAACAGAGAGAACAAAGGAAAGGAAATTGTCAGTGTGATAAATAAAATTTCCCAAAGTTCAAAGACAAGAGTTCCCAAATTGCAAGGGCCCACCGAGTACCCAGTACTGATTGAAAGAAACCCACACTGAAGTACACCCTTGTGAACTCTCAGAAAATGGGGGACAAGAGAACATATTTCAAGCTGTTGGGAAGAGAAACCAGTTCACACATAAACTTGAGGAAACAAAACAACTTTGGGTTTCTGAAAAGCAACATGGAGGTAATTGCTTAGAATTCCATACACAACCTAACTACCAAAGAGGCATAAGAGTGAAATAAAGATATGTTCAGCTATGCAAGGTCTCACAACATTCATCTTTTATACGCAAACCTTTTCTCAGGAAGCTGATGGCATGGGCGGGCATGGTACCTGTGATAAACTGTCTGGAAGCATCCTGTCCTTTATAATAGCAGTGTGGTGGGAGTGGCTTCTCCCTCCCCATCCTGGCCTCTGCTCTTGGAATCTTGGGTGTTCCCTGGGTGTCTCTTACCATTCTCAGAAGCATTCGTGTATATGATTAATGAGAGTGAATTTTTGAGGACTAGTGGGATACCCAAACCATTACTTGGCATTTTTGTGCAAAGCTGTGTTCCAAGTTCAAAATAACCAATTTACTAATCATCTTTGGGATTTGGGATCTGCCTTTGATTTGGTTCGGAAGGAATTAGGAGGACATGTGATAACCGAGTCCATGCACTCACTCTGTGGCTCATGAGGTCCTCTATTTCCCCAGGCTATCAGTGTTCCTGTCTCTCACAGTTCACTGGGAGAAACTGTGAATCAGAGATCACAGCCTGCTTCCCAAACCCTTGTCGGAACGGAGGCTCCTGCGACCCCATAGGAAATACTTTCATCTGCAGTTGCAAAGCTGGGCTCACTGGAGTCACGTAAGTGAGATTGTTCAAGTCTTTTATCCTGTTTCTTGTTGTTAAGACAAAACAGTAAACAGCTAACTGGAATGAAATATTTACCAGTGATAGGACAGATGAAGGGTTAATATATATATATATACTAGTAAAAGGATAATATGCTAATTAGAGTGGACATCTTCCAGACATCCTTCCAGACAAAGCCACGGTGGCAGGGGCTAAGGAAAGAGGCAGTTAGGGGTGATCAGTCGGACAAGGGGGAGTAGTTAGGGGCAATCAGGCCAGCAGGGAGGGAAGTTAGGGACGATCAGGCTGGCAGGGGAGGGCAGTTAGGGGCGATCAGGCAGACAGGCAGATAAGCAGTTAGGAGCCAGTGGTCCCAGATTGTGAGAGGGGTCCTGGATTGGAGAGGGTGCAAACTGGGTTGAGGGATCCTCCCCGCCCCCCCACTTCTACCGTGCACAAATTCATGCACTGGGCCTCTAGTCTATAATAATAAAAGTGTAATATGCTAATTAGAGTGGTCAATTGAACGACCTTCCAACAAAGGCACAGTGGTGAGGGGCTGAGGCAGAGGTAGTTAGGGGCGATCAGGCAGGCAGGCAGGTGAGCAGTTAGGAATCAATGTCCCAGATTGTGAGAGGGATCCTGGATTGGAAAGGGTGAAGACTGGGCTGAGGGATCCTCCTCCCCACTACCATGCATAAATTTCATGCACTGGGCTTCTAGTCTTTATATAAAAAGAGTGCTTACGAGTGACTAATGTTAATAAGGATTATTTCTGGGTGATGTGGTTATGAGTAATTTATCTAATTTACTTTATACTTCTCTATATTTTCAAATTTTTATATAATTACCAAGAAAACAGTTCTTTTAAAGAAGGTCATCTCTGACCCCTAATGCTTCCAATATAATTCTGAGGCAGACATACTATCCATTTCCCTAGAAATTATTACCAGGACTCTACTGCTTAGCATTTTATGATCATTCTGAGAAACTAAAGCCTACCTTTCCTTTGCAAATCTTTTCTCTCCCACCTCCAAGAAATGAGGAAATTAAAGTGTTAGTTGAATGAAAAGGAAATATTTTAAATTTTTACTAAAATGCCACCTTCATCCATCCTTGTTGGCTTTAACAGTCTATATATGTAATCTCGAGCAAGTGATAGACTAATTACAGATCAGACTTATGTATTCATTAAAGCAAATCTCCTGAGGACTTTACCAGGAAATACTTAACCGACTTTGAGTCTTTGGATGAAATTTAAAGTAATAAAGCTGCATTTATTTTTTAAATACTCAGTGATTCTGACTAATTTCCAACTGACCTGACTTCAGTCTATTAAAATTAGGGACATTTGACTACATTTTAAGAAGTGGATTACCAAAAATACAGGTGTTGGGGCCTTTTAAATGAATATAGCAGAACAATTGTTCAAGTACAGAAAAGGGAAGGAAAAATGGCTCTGTGTTCTCAAATAACTTCAAACTAAGAAAGAGTAAGAGTTAAATGTTTGCCTTATAATAATACTCAAAGCAAGTCTTGGATTGTTAGAATAAAAGTAATTTAATTACATTTCACTAGAATGTTTTAGTCATTTTTTCCCTAGTCATCTGCATTAGCACTAGCTTTTTTTTTTTTTTAATCCTCACCTGAGGATATGTTTTGTTTGTATGTATTTAAGGATATGAGAGAGAGAGAGAGAGAGAGAGAGAGAGAGAGAGAGAGAGAGAGCGCGCGCACGAGCGTGAGAGAGAAACATCAATCGGTTGCCCCAACTCTGTATGGAACCAGCAACCCAGGTATGTGTCCAAATGGGAATCAAACCTGCAAACTTTTTGGAGTAAGGGATAATGCTCCAACCAACTGAGCCACCCGGCTGGACTGCAATTAGCATTAGCATTCTACATAGGCATCACTTCTGGAAGTTATGTAGACATATAGCCCTCTATGCACCTACCCACCTATTAACCTATCACACCCCATTACCCCAGTTGCACAGAAGCCAAAATTTACTGTAACCATTACAGGATACTGTCAGAACTAAAGACTTCCTCCTCTCAGGAAACTCCATATAGGGTATGTAGAGTTTCACAGGTCTTTATCTGTAATTCTACAAAACCTAAAGTTCAGAGAACTGACAGGATTGTGGATAAATGAGTGGCAAACGAATGTGGTGCTCCAGACAGCCAAAGCTACTATAGAAGACTATTTCTAGATTTAATTTCTTTCATTTAGTGTAAATATCTATATGTTTTACTTTGGAAACACTGGTATACCGGTATTTGATTTTGGGTCCTATGCCTGTTTCTTGGGTGGGGTGGGTATTTTACATCCTATCTAATAAAAGGGTAGTATGTTAAATTGACTGTCACTCTTACACACAAGATGGTTAGATGCCCCCATGTGGTCAAAGATGGCTGCCCCCATGTGGACACAAGATGGCCAGCAGGGGAGAGCAATTGTGGGCCATCAGGCCAGCAAGAGAGGGCAGATGGGGGTGACCAGGCCTACAGAGGAGGGCAGTTGGGGGGGACCAGGCCTGCAGGGGAGAGCAGTTGGGGACATTTGGGCTGGCAGGGGAGCAGTTAGGTATCAATCAGGCTGGCGGGGAGTGGTTAGGGGGTGATCAGGCTGGCAGGCAAAAGCAGTTAGGGGCAATCAGGCAGGCAGGCGAGCAGTTGGGAGCCAGCAGTCCTGAATTGTGAAAGGGATGCCCTACTGCCTGTTTAGACCCGATCCCACCAGGATGGCAGTCGGACATCCTTCGAGAGGTCTCAGATTGGAGAGGGTGCAGGCTGAACTGAGGGACACCCCCTCCTATCCCACCCCCACCCCCCATGCATGAATTCCGTGCACCGGGCATCTAGTAATATAATAAAAGACATGTACTATATGTCATTTCTAAAATTGCAAAACTAAATTCTGAAATGTATCCGGCCCCAAGAATTTGAAAACCAGAACCACCTCATCAACAGCATCCATCCTTTCTCTTTTTGTCCTCTTCTCTCCCAAAACAGCCTTTCCCTTGCCCCCACCAGGGTAAGGGTCAGACTACCTGGGAGAGAAATACCTTAATGCATGCTGGTGATGCAGGCCAACACACACACACACACACACACACACACACACACACACATATCATCACACACACTATCACACCCTTTTCACGGTGCTTTCTTTTCTTTTCAAGCCATCGGCTTTCAATGGAGCTCCAGGGTAGGAAGGCGCCTGAGTAGTCAGGCCCGAGGCTGGAGAGAGGGCACGTGTGTGTGTGTGTTTGGCCCCGCAGGTGCGAAGAGGACATCGACGAGTGTGAGCGGGAGGAGTGCGAGAACGGCGGCTCCTGCGTGAACGTGTTCGGCGCCTTCGTGTGCAACTGCACGCCGGGCTTCGCGGGCCCGCGCTGCGCGCTGCGCCCCGTGCTGGTGCCCAACATCCAGGCGGGCCACGCCTACGTGGGTAAGGAGGAGCTCATCGGCATCGCCGTGGTCCTCTTCGTCATCTTCATCCTGGTGGTCCTGTTCATCGTCTTCCGCAAGAAGGTCTTCCGCAAGCACTACTCCCGCAACAACATCACGCTGGTGCAGGACCCCGCGGCGGCTGCCCTGCTGCACAAGAGCAATGGTGTGCCCTTCCGGAGCCTGCGGGGCGCGGGGGATGGCCGCAACCTCTACCAGGAGGTGGGGCCCCCGCAGGTGCCCGTGCGGCCCATGGCCTACACCCCTTGCTTCCAGAGCGACTCCAGGAGCAACCTGGACAAGATCGTGGACGGGCTCGGGGGCGGCGAGCACCAGGAGATGACCACCTTCCACCCCGAGTCGCCGCGCATCCTGACGGCCAGGCGCGGGGTGGTAGTGTGCAGCGTGGCCCCCAACCTGCCCGCTGTGTCGCCCTGCCGCTCCGACTGCGATTCCATTCGGAAGAATGGCTGGGATGCGGGATCTGAGAGTGAGTAGGAAGTTAGGCGACATTATCTATTACCTATACCAGTGGTCGGCAAACTCATTAGCCAACTGAGCCAAATATCAACAGTACAATCATTGAAATTTCTGTTGAGAGCCACATTTTTTAAACTTAAACTCCTTCTAACGCCACTTCTTCAAAATAGACTTGCCCAGGCCGTGGTATTTTGTGGAAGAGCCACACTCAAGAGGCTAAAGAGCCGCATGTGGTTCGCGAGCCGCAGTTTGCTGACCACAGGCCCATTCCACTGGCAGTCATGGAAAGCCACAGGTGTGTGGGCACTTGAAAAGGGGATTCAGGGAGGGAGAGAGAACCCGCAGAGACAGGCACTCGTTATGACACGTTCTGATATTGTGCTCACAGATAAGCCCTGAAAAACTGCTCTCGTTCTTATCCCCATTTACAGATGGGGAAGATGAGGCTCTTAGGTGGCTAAGGAGAATCTAAAAGCTAATGAGAGGTACTGCAGTGCAGGGCAGCCAAACCCTAAAGCCCTTGCTCTGCTCACATTGGCCCATGATGGGTGCTAAAGCAAGCAGTATAGCTACAGGAGTGATGCCCAGAGAGAACGCTGTGGAGGGTCAGAGGAAGAGAGTGTTTCCAGTCTTACAGAGTGCGGATGTGAGGTCACTGAATGGTACTTGCAAATTTCTGAACTTCCCACCAAGATCAATTTCTCAGAACAAAGTCTGTGGGGTAAAAAAGACTCAAAGATACAAGTCAGAATCTCAGAATCTGCACAGGTAGGGGTTCTGGAATCTCTGTTTTTAACAAGGCTTCAAGGTACCATGCACATCTGAGTTTGGATTATAGATCCGGAGAAAGGAGGACATTCCACATGACCAGAAGGAAAGAAAGTTGTTCTATTTGACTGGAATGCAGGGTCCATGAAACAAGAGAGTGAACCACAGGCGGGAAGAGAGGTCTGGGCCAGATGGTGGTATTTCCCAGCCCTGAGCCTCATGCAGCAATATTCTAGGCCAGTGGTCAGCAAACTCATTAGTCACCAGAGCCAAATATCAACAGTACAATCATTGAAATTTCTTTTGAGAGCCAAATTTTTCAAACTTAACTTCTTCTAACACCACTTCTTCAAAATAGACTTGCCCAGGCCGTGGTGTTTTGTGGAAGAGCCACACTCACGGGTCCAAAGAGCCTCATATAGCTCATGAGCTTAAGTTTGCTGACTACTAGGCAAAGGGAAGAGCCACAGATTCAAAGGCCTGGGGGTGGGAAAGCCCTGGGCATGTTGAAGACCACGGAGGAGATCAATGTAGTTGGAACTTGGTGAGCACCCGGGGGGCATGGGTGCATTTGAACAAGCCTAGCTCGGGTTTTGAAGCAGCTGAGTGCCATAATCTAATTTATATTTTTAAAAGATGGCTCTATTCCTTGTAAAAGAGACTAAATAGGACCAATGAAAGAAGGAAGTAGAGAGACTAATTAGATGGTGTTTGTGAACATCTGGGTGAGGGATGGTGATTAGAGCATGGTCCCATACATCAAAAGGTTGTGGTTTCGATTCCTGGTCAGGTCACATACTTAGGTTATAGGTTTGATCCCAGTTGGGACACATAGCTGATTGATGTTTCTTTCTCCTCTCTCTCTCCTTCTCTTTCTCTTTCTCTTTCTCTCCCTTAAATCAATAATATATATAACCTTGGGTGACAATTAAGAAAAAAAAATCACTGAAATGTGGGGATCATCTTAAATCCAAATAATTTGCCTAATGGAAAGTAGCTAGTAAGAGGGGGAGGTGACAATTCAAACCTGGTGCCCCAGAGTTCAGAGCCTGTGGTCTTACCAACACTGCCTTTGGAAGCTACAGCAGGAAGGAGGGAGATGGATGTAAGAGAGAGAGAGAGAGAGAGAGAGAGAGAGAGAGAGAGAGAGAGAGAGAGAGAGAGAGAGAGAGAGAGGGAGGCGGGCCTTGATAGAGGCAGGCCTCTGTTCTATTCTACTGCTGCCCAACTGTTCTACATCTGCTGACTCTGGATTTCTAGAGACACATTTTAAGTTGATGTCTTTACCATAAATACAGTCTCTCCCAAATCATCTGTAAAGTTAAACTTGCCAATCAATTAGATCAAGCATGTCAAACTCAAAGGCTAAAACGGGCCAAATGCTAGTAAATGAGGCATGCAGCCTCCAGGCCGTGAGGTTGACATGCTTGCACTAGATAAAGGAAAGGCCCGTTTTTATTTAACAACGAAAAAGTGGGGTTTGAATAAGTGGATACATGGAGAGAGCAGTTTTATGCGCAGCACCATATTCACCAGGATAGTTCATTTGTCATTCTCTCCCTTGTGTTCAGGGCTAAGCCTGGTGCCCACTTTGTGCTTTTCAAAGGCACATCTTCATATTGTCTGTGGTGTGGCTGTTGGGAGGTGAATTTCTCCCTCTTGGGCGTCTCTCTCCACTCAGATGAGTTGTTTATCTAGCTCATCATTTTGCTGTGTCTTCAGCATCTGACAGATGCCCGGTACTGCCCTCACCCTTTGTGGGAGAATCAGGGATTTCCTCAGCCACAAGCAGGAGCAACTTTCCCTTGAGTCACAAGTCTCCAACTCTTTATCCCATCATGCCATCATGGTACAGGGTGATTTGAAGCTTTCCTGGTGATCATTTCCCTCCACCCACTTCATAATGTGACAGCTTTATTCCAGAATCCACATCAGGCCAAATTTCACATTTCCCCCCAAAGTATTATTGGGTTTTCTTTCTCTATTAAGCAAGGTAGTTAGCTGGCGAGACAATCTGTAGGTGGCTAATTCATTTTTCACTTGACAGTTTCAAAATATAGCTTGTTTTTATTGCTTTCCTTAGTCCATCAAATAAGAAGGTTGGAGAGGAAGAGAGAGAGAGAGAGAGAGAGAGAGAGAGAGAGAGAGAGAGAGAGAGAGAGAGGGAGGGAGGGAGAGAGAGAGGTAATTCAGTCTGTCTTTGTATGGCAAAGGAGGAAGGGTATGGATAAGGGCACCTCTATGCACCCCACTGCCCTCCTAGCTGAGTGTGAACACTGTCATTCCCAATTCCCAAAGCTGATGCGACACTGCCCTCTAGAAGGCAGTGCTGAGAACTCCACTCGCTCCCCAGAGATGGAAGTCAGGATAATGCAAAGGCATTCTTGCCTATAAAATATGTATACCCCTGTTTTTAAAAGGAGTCTCCTTTAACCCGGTGTTGACACCACATGGGTTCATGTAAATGATTTAAATTAACACTGAATGGCAGAGAGCAGCCCCAGCACTTCATCCCGGTTCACTCTTCAGTTAGGCTTCCCTTTGAGGAGGGAGCAGCTACTTTGAGCTGTCAGCTGTTTGGAAGCTCATTTACCAAGGGTTAAGGGTTTGAATCCATAATGTAAATCACTTGATTGACAGACAGACCTTTGCCCCCAGTGGCACAATCAATTCTCTACTGTGGAGCTAAATTATTTTCTCTGAGCAAATGAAAGAACTCTGAGAGGCGAACTCCGGGGGTGGCCAGGCTGGAATTACGCACGAGGTAACCAGTGTCATTTCTGCTTGTTCTCTCGCTGTCCACCAAGACAAAGGAGTTGATGACCCGGGAGAAGTGACCTGCTTTGCAGGCAGCAATAAAGGCAGCAACTCTGAAGTGCAGTCCCTGAGCTCCTTCCAGTCGGATTCTGGCGACGACAATGGTAAGAAGTCAAGGATCTGTCTCCCCGGGGTGGCTTCCGCCTTCTGTGCTGACATCAGTGGTTGTGAGGAAGGGGATGTGACCAGTTTTGGTTCTTGACCTGATCCTGGGCATTTGCACGTGTTCACCAGCTTTCTGGTTGGCTCCGTTGTTGGGCCTCGTTGCTGAAGGAGCATCTATTGAGATGCAACTGTGAGCAGGCCCGGGGATCTGCATCAGAGGTTGTTGAGGTTCCCTTGGGCCTCCAGTAATGCGTCCTCTTTGATTTGGTTCATGATGGAACTGCCTCATCCCAAATGATACCCCACTAACAAACTGTAATTTAGTTGTGTGTGTTTTTAAAAATTTACTAATGATTATCTCTTCGCTATACACCCAACCTCCATATTAATACAGTAGAAATTAGTTAAGAGGCAAGACCTTCCCATAAAAACTCTTTCCCATAGAAGTGCCATCTTTATTCAGTTGAACCCCCTTATGATCACTTGGGGTCAAGGGCCTCTGCAGAACCTATTGAGTATGATTCATCAGCTCCTTAGAAAAATGCACATACATCCAGATGCTGCATGCAGTTCCATGTGGTTCAAGGATCTCCTTGACACTCCAAAGCAGCTACCTCTGCCTCTTGTGAACTTATGTTAATGAAGAAGTTGCTGGACTGGGTTTCCAGGGCTGAGGAACCAGCTTTGGGGGATGGGTTGTGCTCCTTGTAGCAGAAATGGTCTTACTACAGCAAGAGTGGTGAACCAAGAATAATTTCAAATATTCATCCACAGAGATAGTTAGCCTCACCTATGTCATTTTGTCATTTATAAGCAACCAGAGGCCCTGTACACAAAATTCAAGACTTCAGGGGTAGGGTGGGGGGCCTTCAGCCCAGCCTGCACCCTTTTGCAGTCCAGGAGCCCTCAGGAGATGTCTGACTGATGGCTTAGGCCCTCCAGTGGGGAGCGAGCCTAAGCCAGCTGTCAGACATCCTTAGTGCTGCAGTGGAGGCAGGAGAGATTCCAGCCACCACCTCTGAGCTTGCCAGTTGTGAGCCTGGCTTCTGGCTGAGAGGTGTTCCCCCTGTGGGAGCATACTGGCCACCAGGGGGCAGCTCCTGCATTGAGCGTCTGGCCCCTGGTAGTCAGTGCACATCATAGTGACTAGTCATACCACCATTCGTTTGATTTGCATATTAGCCTTTTATCATATAGGATTAGCAAAAGTTGAATATTTATTATTTTATGTCATCATCCAATCCATAAACCCTTGTTAAGTTTCTTCTGTGTGCTGAACCCTATGCTGGACATTTTGTGCCCAGAAGTACAACGTCGTCTTTGCCCTCCAGGCAAACGCAGGAGCAGGTGAGCTCGAAGGCCATAGCAGTCATGGACATAAAATAGTCCACTTTCGCCACCACCACCCCAAAATCACTTCCACCCCAAGACCTGGCACCCCAGGGGTCCTCCGTTTATCTGGCTGCTGGGATGACACACTTTGTAGCAGTGCATTTCTTCTGACCGTTTTTAGGAGGTCAAGTGCCTGCCTCTAGGTCTGTTTGCCTGAGTGCCCACTCCTTTTCTCATCCCCAGCCAGAGGAACAGCTGTCACCGGTTTGTATTTTGTGGAGAAGCAAACGAGAACAGATAGTTTCCAAACTCCTGGCAGCAAGCAGCTCCCGCAATGATGCCAAGTTGACTTTTCTCGTGGGCTCTGCTCTGTGTGCTCTCAAGTCACACGCTCAGACTTACACGTTTAATATCCTGGATGGGTCCTTCCTGAAGCAGGAAGTACTAGGAGTTCTCATTAGTTTTTAACAAGTTTCTGGTACCCAGTGTTCATGCAACTCCTATAGCGTACAGAAATTTCCTTCCCTGATCCTAACTATTTCAGAGGTCAAATGTTGATGTCCGTCTACACTGTACTGGAGAGAACTGGGCCTTGGGTCATTCCAGGCTACAGTGGCATTGTGTGAGAGTGAAGCCACCAGTCCTGCAAAGGTTATCCTCCATCATGGCATTTGGTCGTGGCGTCATGGCTGATCAACAAAGAATTCTCTTTGGGAATAGTGAGGTCTCCTTTAGAGCTTCTGGGAGTTGCTAATGAGAAATCAGCCTGAGCTTGATGAGCCATTGCCTTCCCAGATTGATTTCACTGGGCCATGAAGTGTAAGTTTATGACCCAGCAATCCCTGCCCATCCTGCCTTTCAGGAGGAATGGCCCTGGATGTGTGCCATTTCCCTTCCATTCCCAGGATCTTGAGACACTAGAAAAAAGGTGTCCACTGGATGGACTGTGGGAAGGCTCTGGGTGTTCACATGCTGCATCTTTGTTGTTGCTATTGCTGTTGTTAAGAAAAATTAACATGTGTTTAAAATAAATAACTAACCTGAAGCTGTCCTCCCCCCTCCCTCCTGTCTTCTTTTCCTGGCCACAAGCGTCCATAGTGACTGTCATTCAGCTTGTCAACAATGTAGTTGACACTATAGAAAATGAAGGTATTTACTTTTTTTCTTCCATAGCATTTCGTTGTATAAAGAGTTATATTGTACTTTTGGAAATATTGCATCCTTGTTACTTTGAACTAGGGGTGATTTTGATCAGCCAGCAATAGAGGAGGCAATACACAGGTGCTTTCAAGGGAGACACTGGATATTTCTCCAGGGAATTGGGGTAAATTTTCAAATTTTGAAAAAGAATCGAGTTTATAATTTTTTCAAATAAATGGGATGTTCTTTTTATAAAATTTCTTCCAAGAGAAGAGTACCCAAACACTTGGAATCGAGGTTAATGCTAAGTTCATTCTGACATGCAACATGTATTCACTGAGCACCTACTATGAGTGGGAATACATAAGAAATCATTCAAAGCTATGATATAATGGGAATCGATTCCAAGTGGGGAACTTGTATTAGTGTCATGATATAATTAGGGCCTGGTGTAGATGGGATTTATCTTTTTATTTCCTCGATCAGTGGTCGGCAAATTATGGCTCGCGAGCCACACGCGGCTCTTTGGCCTTTTGAGTGTGGCTCTTCCACAGAATACCACGTGCGGGCACGCACCTACAGTGCAATTGAAACTTCGTGGCCCACAGACATAAGTCAGTTTTTGGCTCTCAAAAGAAATTTCAGTCGTTGTACTGTTGATATTTGGCTCTGCTGACTAATGAGTTTGCCGACCACTATCCTAGATCACAGTCTGGAGAAAAAGAGGCATGTTTTTAAGTCATCTAAAATGTTCTCCTTTGCCCCCTGCACATGGCTTGGATGATCAGCTTTACCTCTCACTTTGTGTTTAAACAGTGTCTGTCATGGATCAAGGACAGAACTACAACCGAGGTGACTCCGCTGTGACCCCAGCATAACGTTTTGCTTCTGTGTTCTGAATTGCTGAGTTCGTTCTTACCCCGCCCCTCTCCCTCCATTTTTCTTTGATCGGAGTTTTGCATGTTCCAGGCGTCTTGTGAGCTTGGTATTGGAGGTGGAAGCCCTGCCCACATCCCTCTTCCCCCAGCTACTCCTCTGCCTGCGGTTCATCCATGCGCGTGCACACCTCCCTGACTTTTGTGGTCCACAGGACAGCTGACGCGTATCTCCCTGGGAGCATGCTGCCAGCCTGGCTCTGCACTTGGCGTAGGGATAGGAACAGAGGCCTAGAGGATGGGGTGGGGGTTCTGGGATCCCCAGCAGGCCCTCGCTGGCCATCTCCGTGACATGGCTGGGTGGAAGGTGCCGCAGCCCCAGTGCTCAGAGCTGCCATTGCCTTGCTCCCCCGGGGCCAGAGCATGGGCTGCCCCCTGATTGAGCCTGAGAGGAGCATGCACATGACTTGGCTTCTTAGGGTCGGTCCCCTGGATGTGAATTGCATGCCAGGTCCCTTATCTGTTCCTCTCCAAACCCTGCCCCCATTCCAACCTGGAGGAAATTAACTGTCAGCTTCTTTGCTCACAGCCTATCACTGGGACACCTCTGACTGGATGCCGGCCGCCCGCCTGTCGGACATCGAGGAGGTGCCCAACTACGAGAACCAGGAGGGAGGCTCTGCCCACCAGGGCAGCACGCGGGAGCTGGAGAGCGACTACTACCTGGGCGGCTACGACATTGACAGCGAGTACCCGCCCCCTCACGAAGAGGAGTTCTTGAGTCAGGACCAGCTGCCCCCTCCGCTGCCGGAGGACTTCCCAGACCAGTACGAGGCCCTGCCGCCCTCCCAGCCCGTCTCCCTGGCGGGCACCCTGAGCCCAGACTGCAGGAGGAGGCCCCAGTTCCACCCCAGCCAGTACCTCCCACCTCACCCGTTCCCCAACGAAGCAGAGCTGGGGGGCCCGCCCGCCGCCTGTGAATTCAGTACTTTTGCCGTCCACATGAACCCGGGCACCGAGACGGCGGGCCCCGCAGACAGCGTGTCTCTGTCTTTGCACAACTCCAGGGGCACCTCATCCTCGGATGTGTCGGCCGGCTGCGGCTTCGAGGATGCCGACGTGGCCATGAGTGACTACGAGAGCGTGGGCGAGCTCAGCCTGGCCAGCCTTCACATCCCCTTTACGGAGACGCAACACCAGACCCAAGTATAGGTGCTTTGCCCCAGCGGGTACGGAAGGAGGCTGGCTGGGCTTGTGTCTCCGTGCAGAGCCGTGTGCTGAGCGTGGAGGAAATGCAGGTTAATGACCTTCTTCTCAAGTCAAGCTGTTTCAAGTCAGTGGGTGAAAAAGGAAAAGGCTCAGAAATTGTTTCTGAGAGGGGACTGATCGCCCTTGTAGTATGGTACCTGCATTCACGAATCAAGAAAGCTCGCCGAGGTTTTAAAGGGGGAATACATGGCACCCCCCAAGGTACACGTCGGTCTTGGATGGCTTTGTGCAGTATTGTGCCCTGGAAAGTATTCCGGCATCAGCCCTTGCAGTATTAATAACTGGCGACAGTGCGCAAAGAGGCATGTGATTTTCAGCCAATGGTGGGGGAGAGGGAATGGAAATACTAGTTATCATGGTTGGAAAAGTTAGTCCCTTAGGCAAAAGAAAAGAAAAACAAGTATTATTAAACAAACAAGGAAATGGGCGGGAGCCTTTAAAAATCAACTTTTTTTTTTTTAATAAGCTGCCCAATTTTCAGCTATAAAATTAGGTTTAGGTATCATGTTTAGTATGCTTAGTTATTTTTTGTTTGTGTTAAGCATCCAATATTATCTAGTTGGGTTTTGTGATCTTTGAGAAAGGTATAGTGAAGAGGAACAAGAGGATATTTGGGTACCACTTTGTGGGCTGGGGGGCGTTAACATTGTTCAAGCATTAGAAAGAATGTGATTATCTGTTTTCCCATGAAACATTCCTGGCTGTAACTACAATTTTAACACTCTGGCAGCAATTGGCCTTTCTTCTGAGAATCGGGAAATAAAAATGGGGGTGGGGGAGTAGCATTTTGGTACTTTATTCCCTAGAATGAGAGATATTTAGAGGTTTAAGCAGAATTCACAGATTTAGGGGGGGAAATCAGATATAACACTTTCAAAGTTTTACAGGCAGATAATCACAATTCTTGATAATGCAGATACAATTTGAGTGTTGTTCTACATTGGTTAGCATCACCACTCTAAGTCCAATTGTGTTTGTAGAGAAGTAGATTCGTTTTTGTGTATAAATTATAATAGTGTGCGTGTGTCTGGCCCATGTGCTTGCACTCAGTAAGGCTGCTCTTGAGGACCGAGAACGTGGGCGTCTTAGGCTATGGACTCAAAATGCTGCCTGTGAGGCGGACCTTCCAGTTTCTCTGATCTCTGTGATGTCAGAGAAACACCAAACGCCATATTTTACTCTGGTTCAGTTAACCTTATTTTGGTACTGCCATTTATATTAACTTAAAGCAAAACTGTGCTTTTAAAAACAAACAAACAAAAAAAAAAACACACAACAGTATTTTGTTATTTTCTGGAACTAAACTCTTGTTTGAAAAATGTGTAATGTTTCATTACCCCCTGGGGTTCTCCTCTATCTGACATGTGGACTTTGGCCGCAGTTTTCCAAAACTGACAGGGGAATCATCCCCCTGGAAGTACAATAACTCAGCAATCGAAGGTGAATGTTAAGACGTTGAGTGACTTTCCTCTTTCGCTTCAATCAGATGGTGGCTGCGGGTGCGGTGGCCATGGTAAGTAAATGCATATTTGCACTATCTGCTTCATGAGCAACTCTGTGTCCAGTTTCTGATGACACGTGGCATTGGTGTGTAATTGTGCCGTCCCAAGTCTGCATATCACCTACTCAGACACATTTTTAGTTGTTTCAGTTATATTGAATCCACTTCTTTGTAGGAGTCAATGTTTCTGAAGTTTGTTGTGTTTTTTTTAAAAAAAAAAAAACAATTCCTTTTCATTGTCAAGCTTCCTGAGTCCACGGATACATTTCACAAATGTTTCGGCTTTTCTCCTCTTCCTGTCTCTTGCTTAGACCTACTCGCCGAAGCATTATCTGCACCGGGGGCTTGAAATGCATGCATTTCAACCAGGCTGCTTTGCAGGATAAAAATCTTTGGTATTTTTTTCTTACGTAAGAAGCACATTTGCCAGAATCATGGAGAAAATGACGAGCTAATGGTCTAGAATGGAATCACTGCTACACTTTTTAATGATGCGATGTCATAAAAACCATCAAAGTAAAACCAACAATTCATTTCTCGCCCCCAGGAAATATGAGAAGGAGATTAATGCCAGCAAGTCACTATTGCTTACACAGCATCCCCTGTGGGGAGAATGCCTGACTGACACTGTAATGAAGGAATAAATAGAACCTAATGCGGTTGTGAAGTCACCCAGGAAAACTGTGCCCTCCCTTGGCTCTGACCTATATAAAATACCTCTTTCATCAGGAGAGCTTCTCTGGCTTTCTGCAGAGTAGCTCTGCAGCTAAATGTGTACCAGACAAGCATGGTATGCTTTTATTCATCACCCTGTGAACACATAGCTTTCCACTTTCTGGAAAATTGGACTTCCCTGTAGAGTATGAAATGGTGTCCCGTCAGATGGAACTAGGTGGGATGTCTGCTGATTTCAAGATCTGGAAGGGTCCTTAAGATTTGTCCAGCCCTCTTGTTTTTGTAAAAGAGGGAACATGTCCAAGGAGGGGAAGGCTCTAGCCCAACCTCACTCAGGAGGTTAAGTAGCTGGACACCCATTTGGCCAATATTCTTTCCATGTGACATTGGTCACTGCCATACTGCATGGGACATGGCATCTGCTGGACCTTCTGACTTCCCACCATTCTTGCTTAGAAATCCTGGAGATTATGTTTTTGGAAGTCTCATGAGTGAGATTTTTTTTTTTTTTTTGAAGCCTCATGACCTCATGTTGCCTAACAGCTCCGCTAGGGAGCGTACAGTTACAGGATTCACACATTTCTTTGATAGGTATCAAAAGCTGCTTTTACCAAATGAATATTTTCTAAATTGAGGATGGAAAGATCATTACAGAATGGAACCCAGACTGGTCATCAATTATGGTGATACTCAGTGTATGAGATGACCGACTAGGTGCATTTTGGTTCTTCCTTTTTTTTCCCATAGCAGGCCTGGTGTCTGTTCCCACTCCCGCCACTGTGCTGAACCGCGTGGAAATGATTGAAGCCAATTAGTGTTTTCATGTTCTGCTCACATGTATGTGCCGCCCCCTGGAAGCCAATGCCATGGCCTGCTGTAGGCACTTTACCTGTATGGTGCACATTCTGGTTAGAATGGATGTTTGTCCCATGGGAAGCAGGCTCTGGGGCTGTAAAGGGTGAATGAAGTAGGTGTGGCTGCTGAGTTCATTCCATGCCAGCTTCCCATGTACTCACGTCCTGCCCATTCACAAAGCACCACTGCAGAAGACTTAGCAATAGGAGTAGGTCAAGCCCGAGCAATGGTTTGCCCTATCAGAGAACCAGTGTGAAGGCCCAGAAAGGGAATTGATGCTGCATTCCTGGAACTTCCCTGGGATTCCCCTTAGGAATCACTAATACAGCCTCGAAAAAGGCAAGTAAGATATACAGGGGTGAGTAAAAGTAGGTTGACAGTTGTTTGTATGGAAATATATATATATATATAATTCAAGAATAAATAGTACAAGGATAAACTCCGTTCCACATACTCACAACTAAAAACATCAACTATCTCCTGTTTACTTCCATCCCCACCCCACCTCCACTGTCCCCATTAATGCTGTGTCTACATAATCAAAGTCAGGAAATTGAGGAAAGATATAGCAAAATAAATCATTTGAGGTCCAGAAAACTCTTTCATATGAGAAAATTCAGGAAGACTTAGTGTTCACTTTGCAAGGGTCAGCCAGATGATTATCTCTTCTCTTTCCTCTGCTTCCCTTCCAAGACACAGATATTGATAAAGTGATTAGGCTTTTATGTCTTATTTTTTTTTAGCTTCAAACTATGGAGCATGGGGCTTGGGAAAGGCATTTCTTCAGCATCATCATTTTGTGTGGTCTGTGAGCAGGTGGTTCCGTGTTTTCCCCGGGTTTTGTCCTGTGATGTTCAACTGCACATTATTCTGGTGAAAATCCACAGTGTCTTGAAGCTTCTGGTTGTATAATTCTAGGGTTTAAAGTCACCACTGGTGGCTTTGGCATTGGTTACTATTTAGCCAATTGGCTAAGAGGTAGGAAAAGAATGGAGGTTTTCTTTCCTTAGGTAATAATGAAAGCAATAATTACAAGTATGTAATATTACACAAAGGCCATAATAAGTCTCTTCCAATGTTTAGGATGCACTAGAGAATCATACAGTCACCTGGAGCGTGTTTGGACCCATTAGTATGTACTGTAGTACCCTTCCAGCAAGCCAATACCTGAATTGCTACTATTGAACAATTTTATGAGCCCATACTACTGCATTTCGGAAAGTGAGAAATGTGTGGGGAACGGAAGCAGTTCTTTGGAAGCACTGTACTGGAGAGATTGTCTTGTAAATGTACCTGTTGCAAACAGGCCGGTTTGTAAAAGATGTATGTTTTGGTGTTAAAAATGTTTATAAAATTGTATATAACGGTTTCAATTTTCCAAGCTTTTGTAGATAACTGTATTTGATGCCTATCAGGATGCTTTAATTTGGGGGTTCGAATACATTTCTAAGTCATCCATGCTGTTGGTCTGCAACCATGCTGAGGTCACACCATGCAGTCACATAAAAGGATGTGGGGTTTGAAAATGGTGTTTCTTAATCATTTCAAAATGTACTGTCAGCATCCTTTGGTTCTACCGTTTCCATTCAACTTTCTCTGTTTTCAAGCAAATGTTCTTATTGGCAGTTTTTAAACGAGTGTGTTTTGCCCAGTTACTCCGTCCCTAATATCAATGCCATTTCAGATTCAGACTGAAACATATCATGTCTTCACACACATGTGCACTCACCTCAACTTGCACACACACATCACACACCAAACCTTATGCAAAGGGGAAAGCCAACACTTGAGGTAAATCTTGCCCCTGGTGGAAGTGGAGTGTTTCTGCATCTATTGCTGTTGGCAGGATTCGTCTGGTGTTCTTTTTATATATATATATTAAAAAAAAAAAAAGAAAGAAAGAAAAAGAAAGAAAAACAAAAACAACAAAAAAGACAGCCAAAAAACAAAATCCCAACAGTGTACAGGTTTATAACTTACAAAATTTGATGGTTACAACAAGTTTTCAAGTAAAAAGAAAAAAAATGAAACTAGCCGTGTGTTGACTCTTCTTTAAGTGTCTCCTTCTATTTGTCTTCAGTCACAGGGCGTATGACCGGAGGGCAGTCCATCTCTGCAGGGTGGGTGGGTTTTTGTTTTTTTGTTGTTGTTTTTTGTGTTTTTCAGAGACTTCTCACCTCTGAAAAGACTTCTACTGGTCCTGGTGCACATGTGCTGGAGTCGCATGCAGCTCCTTCCTGGGCACATAACGCTGTGGGGTTTTCCCCTGATGAAAATGAAAACCGGGCTGGAGACCAGGACAAGGGAGGATCATGGAATCCTACTGCTGCAGAAATCTCTGCTAGACACAATCCCACACCTTCAAGGCAGCCTCCCTTACTTGAAATCCTTGTGCTGGCAGAGTTCAGTGTGCTGCACCCTTCTGATGGCCTGACCATCCCACTGTGGTATGCAGGTAAATGCTTAAGACCAGATGCAAAACTGGGAGCGCCAATTTGTTGCACTTGCCAATGTCTATAAGTATTTCTTTCATGGCTGATTTCAAGTTACCAAGGTAATGTGAACCCGCTCGCAATATTTCTAACAGTGGCCCAGTAGGACCCACTGTCCGCATACCACTGCCTGCCCACCAACACCATAAACTAGAGTTGTGTCTTCACTGTCTTTGTTTTCCAGGTTCCCAGGACAGTATTGAGCCTCATTAAATGCTTTTGAGGGAAAAATAAATCAATGATGTGTCCAGCTAAATCCCCTTGACCTCATAAATTCCTTCCTCACTTTGGTGAATTTAGAAACTGCAGTGAGAAGGATTTCAAGAGAGGTGAGAGCTAGAAATCTCTGCCTTTCCCCTCAACACACAGTGATACAGTCAGGAATTGAGCACCAGGAACATATTTGTCCATGTCTTTTACATGGACACCCTTGGCAGAAAGAGAGCTGGTTTACAGTTTCATTAATGCCTCAGAAATGGTAGAGCAACCCAGAGATGTCAGTTAAGAAATTGCATTGGGCCCTTGCTAGTTTGGCTCAGTGGATAGAATGTCAGCCTGCGGACTGAAGGGTCCCAGGTTAGATTCCGGTCAAGGGCACATGCCTGGATTATGGGCTCGATCCCCAGTAGGGGGCATGTAAGAGGCAGCCGATCATGATCCTCTCTCATAATTGATGTTTCTGTCTCTCTCCCTCTCCCTTCCTCTCTGAAATCAATTATATATATATATTTATATATAAAATTTTAAGAAAAATTCTGTTACAAAATTGATTAATACATTGAGGAAACGGGAAAAGAAAAGACTTTTCATGTAAATCTTCATTCTCTGCTGGTTACTGAGAAAAATGGCTAATTCCAAGCTTGGAAATAGGCCTCTGTGGAAAGGTCCCTTTTGTGTGTGTAACTGGGCCAGGGTCCCCAAGAACACTCCCAGGTTCAATTCCCCAGGACTAAGCATATACTTGTGCTCATGACTATCTCTAATCTGGGAAGCTTATTACACTCTCAGCACCGAGAGTTTTACTAGAGTCAGATCTTGTCAGCAGCCTCTGCCCAGGGTGTACCAACATTCCAGACTCCCAGGAAGAATGCAGGTGTTCAGCATAAATGATATCCAGGCGGTAGAAATACTCTCAAATTCAGAACCAGCCAAGAGCCAACCCTGTAAGCAGGCCTGACAGAGGATAGCATTGGGCCTTCCAGGCTCTGCCCAGTCCCTCTGGAATTTCTCCGGGAGTGGACACTCCTGTTTGCCCAACCTCTCAATAATTAACAATTTCCATTTTTCATGGACCCTTCCATGTGACCTGCTTCTCAAATCATCTGTCTGCCAGCAGAGGAGCCAACCAACACAGTTCTGCCAGAACATCCCAGGTGAATGCAAGCTGGTCAATAAAATATGACTATTCAATACTGATTGGAGCAAAAAGAATCATTCTCAGTAACTAGTTCTGGATAACTGCTAGTTTGAGAGGCAGTTTCTAACCCAGATATTTGTCTTGAAGCATTTTGGCCCAGTTCTCAAAATTCCTTCATTTTTGTCTCCATTCTTTTGCTTTTAAATTCTAATTAATTTCCAGCCAATTATGCTTGCTCTGTACTGTTTTTAATAAAGAAGATTTGGAACAATCTAAGTATCCAACAATAACTTGAAACAACGGCACAAAAATTAAAACAGTCTGACAAGCAGAGCAGGAACAAGGAGGTTAAAGGTAGAAAATTCAAGCCCTGGACAGTGTTGTTCAGTGGTTGGTACATGGGTCCGTGCACACCCAGATTCGATTTCCAGTCAAAGGCATATACCTGGGCTGCAGGTTGGATCTCTCTCTCTCTCTCTCTCTCTCTCTCTCTCTCTCTCTCTCTCTCTTTCTCTCTCTCTTTCTCTCCCTTCCTCTCCTCCTCCCCTCCTCCTCCTCCTCCTCCTCCTCCTCCTCCTTCTCCTCTTCCTTTTTCTCCTCCTCCTCCTCTATCCCTCCTTCCACTTATTCTCTCTAAAAAAAATCAATGGACTAAATATCCTCAAGTGGGAATTTTTTTTAAATTAGAAAATTCAAAACCATTTTTAAAAAGTGTTCCCTTATTTTTTCTGCTGCTATTTCTCCCCTCCCTCTTTCTTTCTCTTTCCTTCCTTCTTTCCTTCCTCCTTTTCTTTCCCTTCCTTCCTTCCTTCCTTTTCTTTCTTTCCAAAGCAGCACAAGGTTATTACAAAAATGAGCAAATGAAGACAGGCAAAAGAAGGTCATAACCCCTGTAGGGTGCCTTCAAAAATGCATAGATAATGAAGATTCCCCATGTATGTACATAGACACTTATGTAGATGGGAAGGGGTTACATAATGGATCCTATTTTACATATTGTCCTGACACTTGCTATGTCCCTTAACAATCTAGCTTGGACACCTTCGCAGGTCAGTGTTGCTGTCTTCTTAATGGCTGCCTTGTTTCCCATGTTATGATCATTCCATGATCTATTTAACTGTGCCCTTTATTACAGGGAACACTTCCAGAACAGGTGGGCATCTGTGCTAGGGTTTCTGAAGAATAGGTTTCTGGAAGCAGAATTTTTAGATTAAAGAGTATTGCTCAGTGGATAAAGCGTCGGCTTGGGGACTGAAGGGTCCCAGGTTCAATTCCAGTCAAGGTCATGTACCTTGGTTGCAGGCATATCCCCTGTAGAGGGTGTGCAGGAGGCAGCTGAATGGTCTTTCTAACTCTCTATCCCTCTCCTTTCCTCTCTGTAAAAATCAATAAAATCTATTTTTTTAAAGAGTATGTCCATTTTTTAAGTCAGCGCATTTCTCCCATTTTAATTGCCTTCAAGATGGCTTCATCCAAGACTAATCATACCATCATTTCCACACAGTATATAGCAACTAGATAGCTCACTCCACCGAGTGCATGGAAATGGCCCATGTTCCAGAAGCCACTCTCCAGAGATTCTCAGAGACCTTCCTTTGGAAACTGCTCTGGCAGCTTACCTCCCCCCTGAGAACTGACCCATTAGGTCTCCACTTCTATAAACACTGTCACCTGTGATCCTCTCTCTGCCTGTCCAGGGCAGGGCTCACCGAGGAGGGCAGACGGCCAGCTGGCCGAACCACCAAGAACGGATCCTCTCTGACACACTAAATGCCTGGCTCTCAAGTCATACACTCGGACAGGAGGGTCCAGGCAAGACAGATTTTGCCAAGAAAAACCTGAGCACATTCCACAGAGCTTGAATGCTGAGGTGCTTATAACATCATGTGTGTCTGAATGCTTGTTATTTCACAACCTTTAACACCTTTAACCTTGAGAATGTTCATTTCTTCAATGTAAACACACACACACACACACACACACACACACACACACACACGGAATCCTTAAAACATGTCTTTCCATATGAGCTTTTGTCTGTTGAAAAAGAAAGGGGAACATTAAAAGGAATCACAGTGTAATACGTTAGAGGCTGTTTACAGGCCAGCAGCACTGACCTCACCAGGTGCTTGCTGTACAGAATCCCAGACCCACCGAGCCTGAATCAGCATGTTAACAAGCACCCCAGGTGATTCGTATGCCCGTGAATACCCAGGAAGCACGCTGGATCTTGGACGTGGACTCTGATACCTACCCGGCATGTGGACTTGGGTGAGTTACTGAGACACTATGTACTTTGGTTGCTTCATTTACAAAATGGGTCAGATCCAAGAAGATACTGATGCTATGCATGCACAGAAACTAGTACAGTGCCTGACAAAGAATGAGCACTCAGAAATGGTAGCCACGTGGCGTTTTTTCCTAATTTTCACCCATGTCCCACTGGGTAAAGGAGCTTCCTCCCTGCCCTCTTCCTTTTCATCATTTCCACGAGTCCTATCCAGAGTGGCTGCTGGAGAAACAGTGGTCATAATGATTCAAAGTATTAAGAAAAATTCTTTGAATTAAAGCTCAGGTGTTCCCTGGAGTCATGCTGGCTGAGCATGACTTTGGGGCCTTACCCAGCGTCTCATTTAAATAAACGTGTTTTGCACAGATGGGAGGTTTGGGGCTTTGATGCCGTTGAATATCATGTGGAGGCTCATGGTCTCTCTCATCCAGGCATTCTCTAATGAAGCTGAGCCGCTGATCAATTTCAGGAGCTGCTTCCTGCAGCAGAGCCGTTAATGCTGCATCATTGCTGTGACCCAGAAGGAAATGGCATTTAAGGCATTTAACGCAGTCCCTGAGGAATTCGGTGAAAGGTGACCGGATCTTGGTGTGTGGGAAGGCTACCTGGTCTGAATGCTTGTTCCAAATGGTAGGAAATTGACTCTGAAAGGAATGAGATTAAAATGACCACAAGGGCAGCAACTTCAGGGACAAAACTGAAATGCAGTGATGAGACGCCCTGTGTAAATA